AGCTTGTATTATAAAAACAAAGTGTAGTAAGACTAGTTTACACTAAACCAATTAACAATTATTCAATTATTGTTATTGTTTATTTATTATTGATTATTATCGATATTTATAATAAGGCATTAAAAATTAAATTTTTTTATGTTAAAAATTGCTAATATTAAATAATATTTTATAGAGAGGTTTCGAAAAGTAGTGAACTACAACAACAAAAATATTTTTTATATTATTTTAATTAATTGAATTTTTGGCTGGTCATACAGCTTTTTCGAGTATTGCCAAATACCCATTATTAGTGGTTTTGGAATTATTTATTGTATTTAATTATTAGCAAATACTTTTTGAAACTGCAAGTACCAAGGGTTGAACTCGTACCCTGCCAAATCTGACGCTCAGAGTCTGTGTACATTAACCAACTGACTTGCATGTATGTATATATTACTTTATAAAAATTTTATATGGTGGAATGTATATACCATAAATAAAAGACTTCAAAACATACTGAATAAAAAGTTTAACAACAACTATAATAATAATATAATAATAAATTGCACTTGTATATAAATTAAATTTGTTAGTAAAACAGGACATTAAGTTGACATAACATCAAGTTTAAGTCAATTACGACTTTATCTCAAACGTTGAAAACCTGACTTTGTGTCTTAAATTGGGCAAAGCTCAAATTAATCCCTTGGAATTCGCAGTCTTAAGATTTAATAAAACCCAATACAGCTGTACAGTTAGCTAAATATCTCACATTAATTATAAATAAAATTTTTGTTTTGTTGTTCATTGCAGTTCTCCCTTTTTCTATTTAAAATAGTTTGTTCGTCACGTTTGACTTTAAATAAATTTATTTCTGAATTATAATTTTTTACAATAATTTGAGTTTAATATTAAGAAATTATTATTAAAAAGTTGCTAAAAATAAAAATGTTTTTTTTTTTGATATTTTACACAATTACATACTCCCACTTTGTGGATTCGTATGTGATGCTCTACCTAGCTTTTAAAAATTTTCCACACCATTAAATTGAAATTCAATCGTTAAAAGAAATATGCGACTAAAATCCTTTTTATCCTTAACGTAAAAATAATTTTATATACCATATAAATATGCAAATATCAATGCAAATATTTGCTAAAATAAATATTTAAATAGGCTTCTGCAAAAAGGACAACCAACCAACGACAAAAATCAAACGCAGCCTGTTAGTTTGTCTTCTTATGGAAATTTTTCTATATTTTTTCTGTCTTACTGAAAGGTCGATACTGATTTGAATTTCCTTACTTCCGCTTTATTCTAGACTGGCTTGTATTTTTATTTCAAAATTCTTGTTACTTGCAACTTAACTGATTTATCTGAACAGATTTAAGTCTCAAACTCTATTGACCGTTTACCCTAAACCACCTACGAAACGTCTCGCTTTAAGCAATTTCCGTATTGTTTGCATAGGAAATTGTTTTGTTTCTCAAGGAAATTGCTGGTATGCGGACTTAAAATGCAGTAAGAAAATAGTTTTTTAGTAGTATTTAAGTATTTTGTAAGTGCCACGAGCGGTTATTGTCCTTATGGTTATTGTCCTCTATGAAAAATATTTTAGAATAAATTCGTCATCAGAAATTCAAATAATTTAACGAAATTTAAAATAACTACTTTTAAAATACATTATTAATATTATTTATATCAATAATACTTTTATATATATATATATAAATAGTCTTAATGCAAAAATATTATATATAAATACATATATGAGGTACATAGCTTTCTGTTCTTTGCTTAAAATTATATCAAAAATAAGAAATAATTTACAGATTTAGTTATATTTATTTCAGAATATTATATTTACTTCATCGTTTATAGTGCATCCTATAATATTTATATATGAATTGTTTATAAAAGGACATTTGGTTTATTTATAAAACAGCTAAACATGTTTAACTAATTGATTGATTTGTGAAACCAATATCCTAGAACTTCTAATTACATTTGTATAAGTTTTTTTGTATCAGAATGTTCTATTATAGTATGTTTTGTTTTTAGTTTGCGTCGCATATATTGACGCTGTCCGGTATTGATTTTAATTTTTCTTTCACTGGTAATTTTTATATATTCCATAATATATTTTCGCAGTCTCATAATTATTCGTATTATATTATCAGAGGTGAGAAGGTAAGCTAGATAAGAGCAATGTAAAAGAGCTCAATACCTGTTTGCTTTAGAAGTTAGTCCTGCTTCGAACTAGAACCAGACTTTTGCAGAAGAAGCGCACACTGTTTATTCTTCTTTCTCATGTCCACAACTTCTATAGAATTCATAAGAAAGAAGTTCAATATAAGGAAAGGTGAAAGGGTGAATTATGTAAACTATATATGAATTATATACATATGTATATGCATGCTAGTAAGCTGTATGAAAATAATGAGTGCTCCATTTTGTAGGCGAGTGTAGAATTTTTCTTTTTTTTTTTGACGGCCATCTTTAAAATAATTGATAACAGTGGTCAATGGAGTTACTTTCTATTCCATATTATTAACAATGCAATCTGTGATCTCATTTAAGTAATTTATTTTAAATTAATTATTTTATAGAAAGTTATTAATCAATCAGACTTACTTGAAGCAATAATTTTTGAATAAGATATTATTAAGATAGATTCATCAATTGAAGTACAATGAAATTCTTATAAAATAATGCAAATAAATAAAATATATTCAGCATTATATATTGAATAATATTTTGAAATCGTTTCTGGATATGAATTGCCTTTTTCATTATTAACTACGTAGTCAAGTCCTTCATTTTATTGATACAGGCAGTTATACAACGAAATAGACAGAAGTCAAAGAGACATCTAATAACACCAAACATATATTAAATTTGTTAAAAAGTGTAAGCAAACAGTACCAAAAAATTAAACGATATAAAATGTATCAACTAACAGCAATAAAAAATTGAAGATTTATTTCGCATAAAATTCTTATCTGATATATTTGTAAAAAGTATAAAGTACAAATATTTTTAAAGCAAAAACAAAGCAATTATTTATTTTATAAATTTTTTCAATATAAAAGAATGTTCGAAAACATACTCGTAGAACATAAGATACGTATTTTTTTAATCAACTCTTTGTGTAAAAACGTATTCACTTCACAGAAATTCATTCAAAATCAGTTTAGCACTTAAAAGCAAATCAAATTATATAAATCTGCTTTAAATATATATGCATTGAGGTATTAACTCACATCTCAGCACTAATTCACAAATATTTATTAAAATGTCAATATTTGTCAAAAACAGCCTAAGGGCGTATATACTCCCATTAAAAGAACCCTAATCGCATATGCAAAATACAGAATTCAAAGGCATCACCTTAATTCAGGAGGGCGCGCGTAAAAGCTGCTTTAAAAGTTAGGATGAAAACTCTGGGTAAAAAAAGGAACGAAAATCCAATAAAATTAAATAAAAAAATTTCAAAATTCAAAAACCGTTTAAAGTACTTTTTTAATACTTTTTCCTTGGACAGGTGACAAAAGAAGACAATATATAAAAATATACAATACACAATATATTAAATTATATTGTTTTAAATTTTGAACCCAACGCCGAATCCTTTTAAATTTGGCAAAGTGAGGATATGCGAGTACCCGGCGCCTCCTTTCAAGTGACAAAACAACAAAGAGACTTGTAAATAAAAGAAATTTAATAAAATTTAAATGAAAATGTTTTGGAGATGTGCCTTTCATGTACCAGATATGTGAACCACCTTCATTGTGAAGATAAAACTCAAACTTGCAAAGCCAAATGACAGGGCAACGAGCTGAGATTTTTTTGTGGCTTTCAGGAAATTGAAGTAACTTTTTCAAAGCATTTTTTTCTTAACTTTTTATTATATTTGAGACATTATTGATTAAATAAAATTCAGTATTTTTTTATAATTTTTTATTAAACTCTTTTCCTAAAGCGTTTGACCTGATTCTACTACTCACAACTATCTATATTCGTATATTTTTTAAATCTAAATTGTACACATGCTATATTAAATTAAATATATGAATTTTATAAACAGAATTGAAAATATAGAAATATATAGATCTATAATAAATCTATTAACAATAACAACAAAAAATATTTTAACACATTAAAAAGTAGATACTTTTCTCGTTTAGTTTTCTATAAATTGCAAAATATAATTTGAAAACAATCAATATAGTTAAAAATTTTTTTAAATAATGGTTTTTATATAATGTTTAATCTGGCTATATGTACATTTTTGTTAAATAAATCAACATTTAATATTCTTTATTATATTCTATATATCGACTCTCCTTGAGAGTCATTATCAGGGTCACGATCATAAATTAATATTACTAAAACTATATCTACTTTATCCTCTTTATTCTATTGTCTATATTGCACTAATCTTATAAAATCATTTAAATTTAGTGTGTTTAAAAAGTAGCCTGTTTTATATATTTATTATTTTCACAATTATTTTTTGGATAGTCAATAATTAGAAATTGTACATTTTACTATTTCTCTAGACTTCTCTAATACGCACATGAGATTCGCTATAAATTTTAAAAATAATATCTTAATTCGTTTCTATCGTTCTCTCATTGAGATGCTTTGCAACTCTAGATTTAATTTTCGGAAAAACATAACACGTTTATAACGTTCACCCATACATATCGTCTATTGACTAGGTGGTACATTTTCTAATTCATTACATTTGTCCTCAAAATGTGTTTCCAATTTCGCTTTCTTCATGTAATTTGAATGACCGCTGTTTATGGTCGAACAAAGCATTTTAAACCAGCTTTTAGGTTTTCAAGATTGACTAACTCACATTTCATTATCTGTTTT